GTTTTCCCCGTCCCCCCCCCCCCCCCCAGTGAGTTTCCATGGCAGAGCTTAGGAATCAAAAAATTGATTCAACCAAGACTCTCCATTTTTTTTTCCTTTTGGAACTTGAACTGTGTTTCAACTGAACAATGTGTCATTACTAAACCTTTCTGCCAGTAAGCCAGTAAAACTGGACATATTGGGTGCAATCTGATGACAGAGCAAATTTGGAAACTGCAAAAATCCTGGTTTATTCCATAAAAGTATTTCGACTTAGAATGGGGACTACTAAATAATTCATGGAGGTTCATTTATCCTATTCTCTGAGTCTTATTTATTGTGTTTGCTCAAACACCGGTATTATAACTTTTGCAGCTCCCAGACCTCCTGTGGGAATCCATAGCCAAGTCTTAGGGCTAGTTCAGATGGGCAATTGTCCCACTGTCAGGTGCATAGCGGGGGCAAATTTGTTCACTCTTTTTTTCAAGTGACTACATAATGTAATTATTAGAGCAGAACAATCTTCCTCCAGAACACCTTAATCTGCACTTTTTTGAGCAAATCAAAAAATTGATGGATTGGTGTGCTCTAATTTAGTCTTTTGAAAGTGCATGCAATTCCTGGGAATAGACTAAAAAGGAGCCTTGCAGCTGTCAAAGCTACCAAGGCTCCTTCTGCTCTCAATTACTAGTATCATGAAGTGGTTTAATAAAGAAGCCACTTCAGGATATCAGCAGAGGGAAAGGGAAAATGACCTTTTGGGGGTGGTGCTAGACTATCACCGGTGCACTGAATCATTTAGATTAATTTAAAAAAACTTTTTTGCCTTTATGTGAAGTGCTGATTGGAACTGTGGCTGTGGGCAGTTTCTTGATCAGAACTACATATAAGACAAAGAATTTTGTAAAAAATAATAATCTAAATGCTTCAGTGCATCAGCGATAATCTGGCACGTAGAAAATATAATTTCACTTTTGATTGTATGATTTAGAGAGGTCTTGAGCAACATGATGCCTCTATAGCTGTCACAGCTATATGCCCTCTTCCCACTTTGTGCATCACCTTGCTCAGTATGCATATGTGCAGGCACAAACACACACACTCAAGTATGCACAGCAATCAGGAGGAAGGGGAATTCACCTGTCTCCTTTCTCCTAGATTCCCCCCTCTCTTCTGCTTGTCTTCTCTCCCTTCCTTTTTCTACTTCCTTCTTTCTTTACAGCACAGGAGAGAGATGGCTCCCTCCTTGTTGGCTCCTTTTCATAGCCTTGTGCAGTGGAGAAGGAGTTCCTTTGCAGCTTTCTGATGCCGATCCTCTTTTTTATTAAATGTCCCTTACCCTATTTTTTCTTTTTAACTGACAGTGTTCAATTGAAAAGTAATGTTTTCAATTGACACTTGAAAGCAGGAGTGGTTGACATACCATTTGGCATATCGTTCTCCCCACACAACACAACTCAAGCAACCTTAGTTGGAAGGTACTGCCTTGCACCAAAAGCGCCAGTGCGGTAGCACCCTTACTCTCAGATTAATAGGAAAGATAACATTTAGGCTCTGACTCAGCTAAGCAGCTTGGTATTAGCAAGCTGGTGCTAATTGGTGTTATTTCTTAGGAGCTGCAGAATATTGTTTCCCTGTCAAAAGCTAAAAGCTCACAAGGGAGATGTCTTGGTAGCTGGCTCTGTTTTTGTTAAGGAAGATGCTTCTGTTCCTGTTATAAATAATTTCTTAAAGCTTGTATACTCTCTCCCGGGCCATTCAGAATCACTAGCAAAAATTGGGTGAGAAAGGAAACAAATGTTCTGATCCAGATACTCAGCTGAAGGCAAGTAGGATTATATGCCAACCCACAGCTCTATTTAAATGAGTAAGTTAACCTGAGGATCTGTAAACCACAGATAACTGTGATCAGTGTCAAGCAAAATATACCTGTAAGCCATTTCAATTACAAAGAAAAGCATCAAAATAATTGACAGAGTGCATTTCTTATGTCTTATACTCATAAGAAGTCATTCCTTTTATACTTCCATCCCAGCCCAAAGATGTGAATAGCTAAATGGGTGATGGGGACACAGGTGCACAATGTGAACATCTACATGCACCCAGCATCACAGACCTTGTAGGGACAGATGAATTGATTACAGAAACTCTGTGAACATATGCAATCAACCATGAATATAGAGCCCTCTTCAGATACTGCCATTTCCGTTGCCAAGTGCACAGCAACATTTTTGAGGTACAAAACTTGCCTGGGTGCCCATGTCCTCACATCCATGTAGCCCTCCACACTTTTCAGATAAATGCCTGAATAGATTTCATGTTCAGCAATAGGTAATCCCAAACATTGCCTGAAATCCGGTAGTACGTTGCAACTAAAGCAGTCCCATTGAATCAATGGAAAGTATAGAGGACTTGACTCACCAAATCCCCACTGATTCAATGGGCCTACTCCAGTTGCAAAGAATTTCTGGATTTCAGCCTTTATGTATAGGATTGCAGAAAATGACTTAACCTCCATTACTGTGTTTCTTGCAAGTAAACGTTTGTACTGTATCTCCAAGCCTGGACAAAGAAGCTGTTAAAAACAAAAGTATGTTGCTCATAAGAGGCATGCCACGAACACTGTGACCATTATGATTCAGGCTTTTTAATCTAACCATTTTGTGTGTGTGTGTGTGTGCGTCACAGTTGTTGCTGCAATGTATCTTACCATACATTTGCGGTCATCTACCCCCGTTAGATCTTCCTCAAATTCTTTCCCTATATCAAAATCCATGATGTAGTTTTTAAAAGTACTTAATGTTTTAATAATCATGTGGTCTCCATCCTGAATGATTTCTTTGTCAGGTTTGAGCATATTGGCTATTTTCCTCACAGCGATATTTACATCTGGAAGAAAGAGAGAAAGAAACCAAAAGAAGTGAAAGACTTATTTAAAGTACAAGATCTGGAAAAGCTTTTGAAGGCTCTATAGTTGTAATGTAAACATGAGAAAATCAGGATAAGTTAATATGTTTTAATGCCAATTTCTGTTCAGAAGATTTTTATATTTGGCATTATAGATATGTCTTATCTCGATGCATTTTTACCAGTCAAATCTTCTCTTGTTCACTATGCCATCCCAATAACGTCTTTGGAATTCAAAGTATAGTTTAAAGTTTTGTCTTTTTTTTATCTGAAGGTTAACTATGTGCCACCAGTTTTGGTAATTCCAAACTATTAGTCCTTGTACACATGTAACTTATTTATTTTATTTTTTTTCTACTTTTCATAGTTTTAGAGCTTTCCTTTAAACAAATATTTATTTACCCATGGTTCTACTGAAGTAACCTACAGAAGAGCTATATAAACTGAAACTGGACCATATGTGAATGTCTCTACAGAAAGATCAGTCAATCACAACCCAGCATACGACCGTGTAAGAAGTGAAAACATAAAATAAACTTAAAACTTACCCAATGCTTTCAAATAGGCTTCGAAATTGTCATTGCTGACCATTTTCCAGTAACCATTAAAATCTGCAGGCATTGATGGTGTTTGTTCCGAGTCAAAAATCAAAGTCTTTGTGCAGCGTCTTGCCTTCTGCACCATAGAGCTCAGTGCCTTTTGCTGAAGCAAGTTTGAACTCTGGTTTCTTTTATCTGTTCTTCCAACCATGCAGTTACGCTAGTCCCTTTAAGCTGATTAGCGCTGAATTGTTACCTTTAAATCCTGCCACAAAGCTCAACCTTTTAGTTTGCTAATGACAGCAGGATGGCTTGATTTAAATGGGGTAGGTCCTTGCCCTTTCATAGAAATCAGTTAGGCCACTGATTTACTAGGTAGTGATTCTCATCATATTACTCTTTCCCTTCCATTTCATTCAGAAATTTAAACAGCTTCTTCCAATATAAAGACTGGCTCTAAATAAAAGGTAGAGAACACCAGGCCTTGGACTGAATTTGGCTTTTCTGAGGTCTCAATTTGGCCGTCTGGTGTCCCCCAGATGGTCACCACCTTCTTCATGTGACATCATCATTTGGAAACCTCCTATATTGTATAGACTTTTCCCATTCTAAAAGCTGGAATTGGTACTGGCAACAGGAGCTTTTAGGATGCTGATAGTTTTGTCTATACCAGTGAAGAGCAAACCCCATCTTCTTGGAAGTTGAATCTGCATCGTGGGTTGAAAATGGTTTTCCGTTCTTGTTCTAAACACTGCCACGAAGAAGGTGCTGGGTGATCTGAAGGTTAACTATGTGCCACCCATTTTGGAGCAGCAAATCGTGACCCATTCTGGTACATCATAATTCATTTTGTCTTTCAACCCTATGTAGCACAGTGAGGCCTACACAGGTTCTGCTACTAAAAAGAGCTGCACAGTCTGTTACGAATAACCAAATTTCTTCTTCATGTCACGCTTATGAAGTAATCTCTGAGTGATGGGCGGTGGCTGGAGATATTAACTAAGCAGTTAATAGATGGCTGAGAAAGAGAAAGCTTTAGATTTGGAGGAATAACACCTCATTCCAATTATCATCCAGCACATCTAGCAGACTGGCACATTTTTATTAATCAAAGCACGCTTTCTGCTAAGAGAATGTGAAGTCTTTTCAGAGCAAGAAATAGCCAGTACTTCACAGAAACCCATTAACTTTAGCACAAGTGAGAAGGGAGGGGGAACCCACACACTATGTTGTATTGCATTATTGAACAACAATACACTGTGGCTTGAAAGGAATGACTTCAGACTGTACTGCCATCCCATTACATAGGAATACAGCAGCAAATTTTGAAGAAACCTATTGCACAGCAAACAGTTTTCAGTGTTGCATGAACAGAAGTTTAAGTTAATCGAGTTAGCTAATCAAATATACTAGCTATGTATCTGAATAAAGGTTACATCCTTTTCCTCTCAGGATGAGGGAGGTTTTCATAATTCTGATTCTAATACCATTAGAGGAAATTTAGTTCAATAGTATATGTTCTAACTCATATACCTATTTAAAAAAACACACACACTAAAAAGAACTTATCTTTAAGACCATCCCACCATAGTGCACATAGTTCAGAAACCTTTCAATATATCAAACACATAGACACCAGGACTGTATTTCAGATTTAAAGGAATCATAACTAAATCTGGCATATTTGGACAGATTCTGGTGGCATCCTAATTAAATATTGGCTTCTTCGAGTAGACAGTATCAAAATCTGAACAATCCTGAACATCTGTTAGCAATTTCAGTCTAGAAAGATTTTTTAATTCCTAAAATCCTAGCCACTTCTCCTAATGTCAGTAGGGAAGGTATTAAACTGCAAGACCCACCAACCCCAAAACATCTTTTTCAATATTTTGGTCTTGTTCATTTTATACTGTCCCAACCAGAACTTCCTTCACACTGATGCCTTAGATAATTCAGGTGCTCTGTGAAGGAGTTTCTTAATTGAAATAAAACTCTTGTGTTCCTAATGGTAAGATATAGCTTCATGTGACGTGGCTGTCTTTTCCTTCATTAGCAGTCTGCATTTCTTATTCTTAGTTATGTACATATGAAACAAATAATGAGAAAAGACAACTTAAATAATCAAACAGGATGTTTATTTAGCGACCATAGGTAATAGGTGTGAATGGAAAGATATGAGATTCTTTGATATGAACAATAAACATTGAAACAACAGTAAGATCTAAATATATTTCTTTAGTAAAGTTCAAAATGGACAAGTTGCTTACCTGCAACTGTAGTTCTTCAAGTGATTCTTCAACCACCCTGCTAATGGCAGACTGAGTGGAGGATGAGTGAGTTGAATGAATTCACAGATGACCACTTGAAGAACTACAGTTACAAGTAAGCAATCTGTCCTTCTTTGTGGTCTCTGTGAATCACACATATGGGTGAATGACAAGCTCACTTACCAGTTGGCCGGACATAACACCACACAGAGATCACTGGTCTGCCGAATGCAGCATGTTTTGCATTGCCATCCACTCTTTACTGCTTAACAAACGTCACTGTTTGAGATTGCATTGCTGATTTACAAACGTCTCTCAACTGAACACCTCTAAGGAATGCTGCAGAAGCAGCAAGCAGTCGAGTGCAATCCCTTTTAAATTATAGGCCCCACTTTCTTCACTCTCTGGTAGGTCAAGGCTATAGTGTATGCTATTCACTTGGATAAATATCGGGAGGTGACATGTTCTCTCCTTCTAGATCCTTGGTAGCTAATAAACAGTAAGATTTCTGGAACTGTTTTATAAAGGGCCAATGCCCTGCAAATGTCTAATGTATGCAATGTTCCTTCTAAATCTGAAACTGGAGAGAGAAAGAATGTAGACAGCACCAGAGGTTGGTGGAGGTGAAAGTCTGAAACCACCTTAGGTAGGAATGATAGGTGAGGAACAGTCTTGTACAATAGCAATTTGACATCAGACATTGCCATAAACTCAGACTGTGGTTTTGTCTGAGGGAGAATACCACGTCAGTGGTGGATCTATTAGCTCGAAATCCACACTG